AGAAGTGGGCCTACATGGAAGCAGCTATTGAATTAAATTATTCTTTTCTCAACTGCTATAATGTCATTCCATGCAGCAATAGTTTGACAACAGTCACTAAGTTTGCTCATAAGAAATGAGCATTTAAAAATAATGCTTTAATAAAATATACAACATGATGATTGTTGTAAAGTGTTAACTCCCAAGCATGTACATGGAAAGCTGTCATGATCATAAGAGAAACAACTTAAGCCTCTTGCTGTGTAATAATATATATAATTGTCATGGTGGAAATAAGCCATCAGTTCTAAACAAAAATTACCTAAAAGTCAGGCCATATCTGTATCTTAGAACAGTGGCCCTCGAAATATTACCACCAACAGAACAACAACAGAATTTCCTTGGATAGTAGGAAGTGCAGATGCTGGGGAATCTGAGATAACAAGGTATAGAGTTGGATGAACACAGCAGGCCAAGCAGCATCAGAGGAGCAGGAAAGCTGACATTTCGGGCCTAGACCCTTCTTCAGAAATGGGGGAGGGGAAGGGGATTCTGATAGAAGATGGATAAAGGAGAAGATAGGTGGAGAGGAGATAGACAGGTCAAAGAGGCGGGGGTGGAGCCAGTAAAGGTGAGTGTAGGTGGGGAGTTGGGGAGTTAGGGAGGGGATAGGTCAGTCCAGGGAGGACGGACAGGTCAAGGGGGCGGGATGAGGCTAGTAGGTAGGAGATGGGGGTGGGGCTTGAGGTGGGAGGAGGGGAGAGGTGGGAGGAAGGACAGGTTAGGGATGCGGGGACAAGCTGGGCTGGTTTTGGGATGCGGTTGGGAGAGGGGAGATTTTGAAGCTTGTGAAGTCCACATTGATACCATTGGGCTGCAGGGTTCCCAAGCGGAATATGAGTTGCTGTTCCTGCAACCTTTGGGTGGCACTGCAGGAGGCCCAGGATGGACATGTCGTCTAAGGAATGGGAGGGGTAATTGAAATGGTTTGCGACTGGGAGGTGCAGCTGTTTAGTGCGAACCGAGCGTAGGTATTCCGCAAAGCAGTCCCCAAGCCTCCGCTTGGTTTCCCCGATGTAGAGGAGGCCACATCTGGAACAGCGGGTACAGTATACCACATTAGCAGATGTGCAGGTGAACATCTGCTTATTGTGGAAGGTCTTCTTGGGGCCTGGGATGGGGGTGAGGTGGGAGGTGTAGGGGCAGATGTAGCACTTCCTGCGGTTGCAGGGAAAAGATGAGGTGTTGGGGACCAGGGAATCGGAAGTTTTGGAGGAGGTGGAGGGCGTGGGTGGTGTCACGGATGTAGGTGGGGAGTTGCTGGACCAAGGCGGAGAAAATGGAGTCGAGATAAGTAGAGATAAGTTCGGTGGGGCAGTCAGGTTTGTAGATTTTAGGAAGGAGATAGAAGCGGGCGGTGTGGGGTTGGGGACCCCAACACCTCATCTTTACCATGGACGTCCAGTCCCTATACACCTGTATTCCCCATGCAGATGGCCTAAAGGCCCTCCGCTTCTTCCTGTCCCGCAGGCCCGACCAGTCCCCCTCCACTGACACCCTCATCTGCTTAGCCGAACTCGTCCTCACTCTTAACAACTTCTCTTTCAATCCCTCCCACTTCCTACAGACAAAGGGGGTGACCATGGGTACCCACCCGGGCCCAAGCTATGCTTGCCTCTTTGCAGGTTACGTGGAACAATCCCTTTTCCATAGCTACATTGGCCCTAAACCCTACCTCTTCCTCCGTGGCATCGATGACTGTATCGGCGCTGCCTCGTGCTCCCATGAGGAGCTCGAACAGTTCATCCACTTCACCAACACCTTCCACCCCAACCTTAAGTTCACCTGGACCATCTCTAATACCTCTCTCTCCTTCCTGGACCTCTCTGTTTCCATCTCTGGCAACCACCTGGAAACCAATATCCATTTCAAACCTACCGACTCCCACAATTACCTAGAATACACCTCCTCTCACCCACCTTCCTGCAAAAAGGCCATCCCCTATTCCCATTCCTTCGCCTCCACCGCATCTGCTCCCAAGATGAGGCATTCCACTCCCAGACATCCCAGATGTCCTCGTTTTTCAAAGACCGCAACTTCCCCTCCACAGTGGTCAAAAATGCCCTCGACCATGTCTCCCGCATTTCCCGCAACTCATCCCAGACACCCCCTACCCGCAATAACAACCAAAACAGAATCCCCCTCGTCCTCACGTACCACACCACCAACCACTGAAACCAACGCATCATCTTCTAACATTTCCGCCATCTGCAATCTGACCCCACTACCAAAGACATTTTTCCCTCCCCACCATTATCTGCTTTCCAGAGGGACCACTCTCTCCGTGACTCCCTTGTCCGCTCCACACACCCTCCAGCCCCACCATCCCCGGCACTTTTCTCTGCAACCGCAGGAATTGCTACACCTGCCCCTACACCTCCCACCTCACCCCCATCCCAGGCCCCAAGAAGACTTTCCACATCAAGCAGATGTTCACCTGCACATCTGCTAATGTGGTATACTGCATCCACTGTTCCAGATGTAGCCTCCTCTACATCGGGGAAACCAAGAGGAGGCTTGGGGACTGCTTTGCGGAACACCTACGCTCGGTTCACACTAAACAGCTGCACCTCCCAGTCGCAAACCATTTCAACTACCCCTCCCATTCCTTAGACGACATGTCCATCCTGGGCCTCCTGCAGTGCCACAACGATGCCACCCGAAGGTTGCAGGAGCAGCACTTCATATTCCGCTTGGGAACCCTGCAGCCCAATGGTATCAATGTGGACTTCACAAGCTTCAAAATCTCCCCTCCCCCGACCGCATCTCAAAACCAGCCCAGCTTGTCCCCGCTTCCCTAACCGGTCCTTCCTCCCACCTATCCGCTCCTCCCACCTCAAGCCCCACCCCTATCTCCTACCTACTAACCTCATCCCGCCCCCTTGACCTGTCCGTCTTCCCTGGGCTGACCTTTCCCCTCCCTAACTCCCCACCTACACTCACCTTTACTGGCTCCATCCCCGCCTCTTTGACCTGTCTGTCTCCTCTCCACCTATCTTCTCCTTTATCCATCTTCTATCCACCTCTCCCTCTCTCCCTATTTATTTCAGAATCCCGTTCCCCTCCCCCATTTCTGAAGAAAGCTCTAGGCCCAAAACGTCAGCTTTCCTGCTCGGCCTGCTGTGTTCATCCAGCTCTACACCTTGTTATAACAGAATTTCCTTGTTCCATTTAATGCCAAAGTAGAAAGGAAGTCTCAATGGGTCCAGAAAGTTCACATCAGTCCACAAAATACTTGCATGAGCAAATCTGTCCAACATCGCACTGAGGTTCAAATCATTGTCCTTGAAGACGCAGTTACACTCTGACAAATCCAGCAGTCTCTGAACCAAGGATACACTGGATTTATTTTTAATGAAAACTGGCAAATTAAAATTGAAATGCATCAATGCAGATCAGAACATCTTAGTCCAGTAAATAAGGGAATGCAGGAAAACTAATCGTTATGATGGCGAAACACTTTACATTACTTTACATCATGTCACAGCTGATGTTAACTGACTTCTAATTCTCATACAATGGGCTTAATAACTCTTTTTGCACGTTTCTGCAAACGCACCACACGCGCGCACACACACGCACACACATATCAGTACAATGTTCAAAATGCGATAAAAAGCAATCAAAAAAAGGTCTGGATTTTGGACATCATTAATTTCAGGTTAGCAGGATTTGTTAGACTGTATCTAATATAATCATATGCCATACAACATCCTACATTGATGACCCCTTTTCAAAGTTTATAGGAGCAGTAAAGAGAAGCATAAAAAGCTTATAATTTAGTGTACATTTACAATGATGAAAAATAAATTGATTCCTCCATAAGTAATTGTAATCATTTGGTTTAAAAACAACCCTTTTTCTCCAAATCGCTCTACAACATTTCCTTACTACTTCTATATGTCCATATTTAGCTCGGACAGTAGCGAAATATTATCACCCTGAATTTTTGGGCATTCTACTCTGAAACTGGCTGAAATTAATGAATTTCAATGGTCCATAAAGTTAATTTCATTAATTTATTTCATTTGATTAGTTCATTTCAGCAATCTGCAGAGTTGGCCTATGCCATGACAATTCATGGCACAGCTTAGGAGAAACAAACCTAATTAAATTAGCAAATAAAAACCGAAAGAACTGTAGATGCTGTAAATCAGGACAGTCAGTTCTGAGGAAGGGTCATCAGACCCGAAACATTAACTCTGTTTTTTCCTTCACAGATGCTGCCAGACCTGCTGGCCTTTCCAGCAACTTTGTTTTTGTTCCTGATTCAATTAGCATTGATGTTGGGATGTTGTACATGCATTTTGGGTTTACATAACATCCTCCAAGCAAAGAATTCCTGACTATCTATAACTATTTCATTAACCACTAAATTTGACTTACATAAAACAACAATTTTTATAAAATAAATTAAGATCTAATAAGTGTGCAATTGGTCTTAGGTGCTGATACAAAGCAGGTGATAGCCCAACAACTGTCAGTCCTTCTTACACCTCGTTACCCTGCTATCTGACATCAATTTAACCCCAATTTCTTTAGTTGCAACAGCAGGCACTGTTGAAATAAAACAGCACTAAATCAGTAAACTCAAAATTTACTGAATTATTAAAAATGGGAAATAAGCAATTGTTTAAAGCCTTGTCTGAAAACCTACAGAGATTACCAATTTTTTGTTTGAATTGAACAAGCCAAAGGTATCCCAAATCCTATGTTTATTCTTTGTATACTTAATAAACTATACTGGTTCTAACAAGTTGATATTATTAGGCATGATCATATTAAATGGATGAGGAGATGAATGGCCTATTCTTGTTCCTATTTCTTATGGTATTGTGGTCTAATATTTTATCAAAACTAAAACATGGTTCACGCATTTTTACAATGATGATTTCTATTTAACACAGCATGATGGTCAAGGGTACACGAGCTGCTTAACTGACTAAACAATGTCTACCAACCTTTTTTCTCTTGCGGGCTTTAGCTTTAGTATTGCTGGAATCTTGCCCCATGCCTCCATTCCCCAAATTTCCTGAATGTGTCTTGGACACAATGTGTTGTGCTGCTGATGCAGGGGTTGTTGGTGTTGACGGGGGTGTATTCTCTGGTGAGTCAGGATTGCTCTTCAAACTAATGGGCTGAACTTGAAACTGTATCTAAAATAATAAAAAGTAACATTTTTAGATGCTGAAAAATATTAATTTGTATATAAAACTAGATACCATTCAAAGTCTAATAAGAATCACACATTTTATAGGATATCTGATAAATAAGTTAGTTACATAATTAACAACCTTAAAGGTAATATACTTTCTTTCCTGTTAAGATACTGCAAGTATTTTAGTAAGTAATCCAATTATTAATCAAGCGCATGCATACTCACACTCTGGCTAATGTCCTCTTCATATTACCCCTTTTAAGTCTGATCAACATTGGCATCCACCATGGTACTTCTGTGAACATAACCAATTTTATCTACTTGGCTATTTGCTAGATGAAGGAGCTGTCTTGGCCGTTTCGCGTTTTTGTTCTAGACAACCAAGAGAATCTGTCTTGATGAAGAAGCTTGTGTGAAAATGTCAGTCAGAAGTGATAGTCAAGGCTGGAATTCTAGTTTGTGTATATTATTTGACGTCTGACTGACTTCTAATGTAATCCTTCAAATTTCATTTTTCTCTCAAACAATGTAGTGTCATCTTCAGGGTTTCAGATTGACCTATGCTTTTGTGGATGTTTGAACAGTTGAGAAGAAAATTCCACCCACTGTCTTCCACTAAGACACCTACTGTAACAAATTAAAGTATTTATTTGGTAGAAAATTTAAATAGCCAAGCAGCCAGTGGTACCTATAATGTACAGTTTAAGCAGATTAGTGTTTTTTATTCATTCAAGGGATGTTAGCATCACTTGCTAGGCCAGCATTTATTATCCATCCCTGCTGCCCATCTTATAAGTTCTGTTAAATGTATTTTTGGTGTAACATAACAAAAAAAGGTCAAAATATTTTAAAAACATTATTCAAGAGATTAAAAATATTAAATTGAACCTGCCTGTATAACCAATGGAGGGAAAAATTAATTGACCTATTGACTGAACAATTTTTAGTCATGCATCATAATTTGTCAGAAAATTAGATCCTTGATCACTATGAACATGTCATGTTCACTGACTGGCTTCGGACTGATTTAAGCAGGAAGTTAGAAAAGACCATAAGAAATAGGAATAGTAGTAGGTTGTTCTGCCCCTTAAGCAACCTCTACCGTTCAACAGTGTCATGGCTGATCCAACATCCTACAAAAAGTGGTTGAAATGAGCTAAAACATCTTAGAATTAAGGAGTCAAGTTTCAACCTTTATAGTTGAATAGTTGCATATCTCCTTAACTATATGGAAACCACATTTAAATTTCATCTGGAATATCAAACAACACAAGTTGCATTATACTTTTAATTGAGACCATTTCTCACTGCAGTTTACAGAGATGGGTAAAAAAAATGAGCTAGTGGGGGCTACATCCATAAAATAATATCAAGCAGACACTTAACCTTTCTGCAGATATTTCACTATCAATAACTGCTTTATCTTTGTTACCTACAAGTAACTGCATTTATATGGCATCTTTAACATGGAGAAATGTTCATGTATGCTTCTCAGAGTAGCAAATACTGTTAAGGAGGTGTGTTTCAACAATAAGACTGAGAGATTGAGATATGTAGAAAGAAAGTTTAGAAGAATAAAACCTAAACTTGTGAAAGCGCGCCTGTCAATATTTGGGTGAGAGATAGGACAATAGAGGTGCACAAGTGAGGCCAGAACAGACGATCAGAGACTTTAGGAAATGGTGTTTATAGGTCTGAAGAAGGTCACAGAAATATGTGGGTGATGCCATCAAAACATTTAAAATTAGGGGTTAAAACAGAGAGTATAAGTTATTTAGAAACTAGAAGTCATATCTGGTCCACCAGGCAGATTTGTGTAATTTGTGCCTTCTTTATGAATCAATTCACCTGATCATCTTGTTTGAATTGTTTGTCTCCTAAAAAAGGAACTGTAAAAGATCAGGGAAATGGAACAAAATGGATAGCTAAATGTTTTAACATCAGCAGGTGTTTTAAAGTGTTTTACATGTGGCAAACTCAGTTAATTTCTACTCTTTAATAATGAATACACTTGGGGAATTCAAACACTGTACAATAGGTAAGAAATTGGGGCATTCAGATTGAAAGAATTTCACTTTTCTGTGACAGATTAAGAATTGCCAAGTTTCAACTGACAAAAAAAATCTGTATTTTGTTTTAATATTAATATGCAGATAAGTTAAGTTCTGTTTCAAGCACTCTTGATTTTTTTATTTTAACATGCTTAGAAGTGACAAGCAAGATTAATCCTATCTGGAGTATGAGAAACTGATTGGTTATCATGTTGAGTTGTCTGGTTAATTGTATCCATGATCTTGCTGAAGTTTTTCTTCGGAAGTCGAAGGGGCCTTGAGTGGGCCAGTTATGGATCAATCTTGTTAGTGGATTCAGGTGGAGCTGTTCCAGTTCCCACAAAAATAAAAATTACACATTTTATGAGTAACATCCAATTGTTCTTCCAAGAATTATATAAGCCAATTGCTACGTACAAATAGAAATATTCAACACAATATGCTGAAGTCTGCTGAAAGTTCATAATATATTTTTATTATTTTTGGGAACTTAAATTCCATAGTGGAAGAAAAATGGAATTTTGTTTTCCGTTCTGTGACTGGCTAGAAGGTTAGCTTGAACTGTGAGCTAAAGACAGCATTTCCAAGAAATAAAATGACATTAGATACATGAACAGCTAACACTGGGGAGTTGAGTGCTGGGGTTTTTGCTGATTTGAGTTTTACAACCCAGAGAGAAGTGGGCCTAGAAGTCGAGTCATCCAGTCAGAAACACGTTCATCAGACAAAAACAGGTTGTTTCAGAAAGTGGCAGTCCTTAACAATTGAAATAAAGAAAGCTATCTACAGAAAGCTTTGGAGGTATCATTGAGGAAGTTCCTACAACACATTATGCTGAAGTCATAAAATTAAGGAGTCCATGTTAAGTAATGGTTTAATGTCTCTAAGGTTGTTGTTTGGATAAACGATTGAACTGTTTTTTGTGATTGTAGTGAGACCATTGGAAACTCGTCCTGGGGTAGTATAACATAACTTGCAATTTTTTTTCTTTTGTTTAATAAAACTTTTATATTCATTTGTTAAAATTATGTTGGCAGCTGCTTGTGAATTTGTTCAGTAACTGACCTTCACTGCAAACAAAAAAGAAAAATAAAACTTATGGTCTATGAAACTGGGTCTCACTCTGGAATCTGACTATTATCATCAGCAGCAATAATAACAACTGAAAATTATAATCGGGGCCTTAAACAATTGCAGTACTCTGACTACTACATTTAAGCAGTCTTATCATTGCTAATTCACAGGCTCACCTGAAATCAAATCACATGAGCCTGGGTCACTGGGACAACTACTTTTTTTGTTGATTATCAATAGCAGACAAAACATTTTTCAGGTGAGATACAAGCCACCAACAGATTAAAATAGTACTCAAAAAATTTAAAATAATTTCAGTTAAAAGAAAATGACTTACATTGGACTCCGTAAACAGTTTAGTGCATGTATAAACTGCAAGTATTGTGTGTAATCTCAGAGCTGATTGATTACCATTTCTGTAACATTTTACTTCTTACAAATATATTTACTAGCAGTTTAGTTAAAATTGAATGATCTAGTTGTTTGACATTTTCTGAAAATTCTGACTCTCAGACATACATGTGAATGGCGTGGTGGCTCAGTGGTTAGTACTGCTACCTCACAGTGCCAGGGACGCAGGTTCAATTCCAGTCTCGGGAAACTGTGTGGAGTTTGCATGTTCTCCCTATGTCAGCGTGGGTTCTCTCTAGGTGCTCGGGTTTCCACCTACCATCTAAAGATGAGCAGGGTTACGTGAATTGGGCATGCTAAAACAAATTGCACCATAGTGTCCACAGACATGTAGGTTAGGTGGATTAGCCATGGTTTAAAAAAAAACCCATGTGGGGTTATGGGGATGAGGTGGGGGTGTGTGTCTGGATGGGAAGCTCTTCAGAGGTTTGGCACAGACAGGATAGGCCATATGGCCTCTTTCTGCACTGTAAAGATTCTATACAGTGATGCATTTTGCACTATTTCTGGTAGATAACAGTAAAAGGGCTCATTGTCCAGAGGTGACATTCACATAAACAATGATCTTACTTGTAGAAGCTGACTTTGCAGCAAACAGGAGTATGGAACAATACTGAAATGTACAAATTGGAGCATGTAAATTCAGTTAAAAAGACAAAAATTGTAAACAGATTCTATTTCGTGTTGGTGCAAAAGGTTAGAAGTTGGTGCTTTGATGAGAAATGCAGGAGATTAATTCCTTTTCACTAAAAATTGCGTACGTTTCAAACACCCACCTCAGGTAATGCAGCATTATGATGTGCAAGTGTCACAGATTTGGCATTATTAAATGGATCTCCAGTTTTAGCAGCCATGTCCTGTTTCACCAAAAGGGCGAGGTCCACCAGCTTAAAAAGAAAAATAGTATTTCTTTTAAAAATGAGTTGATCATGGTATTTTAACACATATGTCATTGTGGCATTATATGATTTAAAAAGTGTTCACATCTCTACTAAGAAATTTGCGAATCTCAAAAGCTGTGCAATAAAGTTTTCTGCTCTGAAATTTAGATTCAGAATGATTATAGTTTTGTTGCTAGCAGTACAATGGACTGAAAGCAAAGAATTGCAGTATCACTGGGGGAGAAAAAAAGAGATTCATATCCACCCTAAAGTTTTCAATTAAAGGGGCTGACTTTTTACTTGCATCTGTAAGTTTAAACTGAGCTGATTTATTACAACATGATACCCTCCTTCGTCTAATCTCTACACATGGTCGTTCCAAGGAGAAGAGTCACAGAGATCTACAGCATGGAAACAGGCCCTTCAGTCCAACCTGTCCATACCACCCAGTTTTCACAATTAAACTAGTCTTATTTGCCTGTGTTTGGTCCATATCCCTCCTTTCCTATCATCTCTATGTACCTGTCTAAATCTTTCTTAAATGACAAAACTGTACTCGCTTCCACCACTATCTCTGGCAGCCCATTCCATGATCTGCCCTTAATATATTTGAGGTCATTCAAAACTTTGCTGTTGCCCACATTCTGGAAGACTGGACAGTTATGGGGGGGCTTATGGCCTTGTGGTATTGTCTCTGCGCTAGAAATCATAGGTAATGTTTGAAATTCCTGGGTTCAATACTGGCCCCAGCAGATGCAGCCCGTTCACCACCCTGTGTGAAAAAATTGCCCCTCTGGACCCTTTTAATATCTCTCCCCTCACACCTTTAACCTTTGCCCTCTAGTTTTAGACTCCCCTAGAATGGGGAAAAGTTGTAGTTATCTAAATTATCTGTGCCTCTCATGATTTTATAGGCCTCTAAAATGTCATGTCTGAGTCTCCTACACTCCAGGGAAAAATGTTCCAGCCTATCCAACCTCTCCTTATAACTCAAACCTTGCAATCCCTGTAGAAATTATAAAAGAAATACTTTAATTGTTAAAAACAAAACTAAAAAGTGCAGATGTTGGAAATCAGAAATGCAAATGGAAAGTGTTGGAAAAATTCAGCAGGTCTAGCAATACCTGGGGAGAGAAGGCAGAGTTAACCTTTAACTGAAGCAGGGTTACTGGACCCAAAAGGTTAACTCTGCCTTCTCTCCACAGATGCCGGCAGACCTATTGAGCTTTTCCAGCAATTTCTATTTTTACTTTAACTGTTAGGTGCACAACCACTACATTACAGTAACTAATTGCTTCAGTCATGATGACAAGCAATGTTGAGGCGTTGCTGGCTCTATTCATGAATGACTTAAGAGAACCAGATGAGTTTTTATAAAAGAGAACACAACATTTCATTTGCATTTGCCAAGTGTCAACTCATGCATCTGACAATATTTCCTCATCTTGCCTCTACACTTGATTAATGCAACACATACCTGGCTAGTTCCCATAATGGGCCCTTAATATACTTGAGGTCATTCAAAACTTTGCAGTTGCCCACATTCTGGAAGACTGGACTGTCATGGGGGGGCTTATGGCCTTGTGGTATTGTCTCTACACTAGAAATCATAGGTAATGTTTGAAATGCCTGGGTTCAATTCTGACCCCGGCAGATGCAGACTTTAAATTCAATAAAAAGTTTGGAATTAAGTGTCTACCGAAGATTGTGAAACTACTGTGGTTCACTAATGTAGTAAATAAACCAAGCAATCTCTATGTTTCAAAGAAATAAAACCATATGATTTTTATATCAAAGCTCTTGATGAAAAATGTGTTTATTTATTATAGATGGCGATTTGGCTTTTCTGTTGCATACTTATTTGAGGTCAAACCTCTTATAGCACTATATCCAGGTTATCAGGGCAAATCTCCGAGCATTGACCATCAGGGCTATCTGGTTCCATTACCTTTATAAAATTTATCAAGTACCTTCTGTTCTGCTGTGGATGAGAGACATTGTTCCTGCTCGGTGTCTTCTGCACCAGTGCACCACCAAAATGTTGGAGATATTCTTGTGCCTTTCTGAGATTAGATTCAGTTCATACTGACTTCCATCATTTGCTCCAGCTGAAACGCATCTCCCCTTTAAGAGGTGCAGACTAGCTTTATTGCATGCTAGCCTCTGTCAATTTTGTACCCAACTCAAGCATGTGGCCAGTTAACTGAGGCACAATTAATTTCTTCCTGCTTCTGGAGTTAAATAACTTTGCAAACATGACCTTTGAGTTGCTAATCGATCATTCTAACCAGTAGGTTTATTACATGTTTTATCATGGAATAAAAACACAATCACTTTTGTCTTTTTAAAAATCTGATATTAAAATTTATCCCATGTATCATATATAGGTACAGTTACAACATTTAAAACACAGTTGACTGGAACATGAATAGGAAAAGTTTAGAGGGACATAGACCAAACACAGGGAAACGGGATTAGTTTAGTTTGGGAAACTTGGTCAGCATGGACAAGTTGGGCCGAAGGGTCTGTTTCCATGCTGCATGACTCTATGACTACCATAGGCCACTCTATTTTACGAAGTTTACACATTACCTGGGCCACTGTCTCCTGTGCTAGGTATGCCATGATCTCCAAAGCAACTGGATTAGGCTTCACTTCCATACTGCTGCAGTCCAACCAATCCTTAAACTTTGTTGGTTTTTTGGCTGTCAATTACAGATGTAACAAATGGAACAATAATCTGTATTAGAAAAACAATGCAGCTATACATTTTAAAGCAACATACTGTGAAGATGGCAAAGATTTTTTGGAATGTTATTTTGACCTGAAAAACAAGTCTTCAGCACTGAAGAATTAGTTTACAAACCTGCTGCAAATTTACATTATTAGAAGTGTCATTTTTTTCCTTTGTTTACAAAGTACACCAGTTGGAGATATTCTTGTGCCTTTCTGAGATTAGATTCAGTTCATACTGACTTCCAGCATTTGCTCCAGCTAAAACACATTCCCCCTTTAAGAGGTGCAGACTAGCTTTATTGCATGCTAACCTCTGTCAGTTTTGTATCCAACTAAAGCATGAGGCCAGTTAACTGATGCACAATTAATTTCTTCCTACTTGTGGGGTTAAATAACTTTGCAAACATGACCTCTGAGTTGCTGATATTTTAGCAAATCATTTGTTCCAGTCATTAATTACATGAAATGCTCGCTTTGTATTTTCCTACAATATAGACAATAATTTCTAAATACTACAGGGATTATCAAGCCAAAGGGAGAAATAAATTGTCTATCAAAACAGCCACAAATTTCAAATATGACATATACAAGCACTGTAAGTGGCATTCCCAAAAGTCAAAAGGAATGTACCATGCAAAAAATCTGAAATCGAGCAATTAATATAATTTGTGACATCATTTGTTTTCAATTTATTAATTAGAATCTACATTGTCATTTTATTCTGAATCTCCAATTGTCATTTCTTCTCTACCATAATCTCCCTCAATGTAACTCTCAGAAATTCCATCATCAGGACCTCGTCTGCTTTTCACCTCACATTCTTTTTTTCTATCTTTCATATGCCTCCTGGTCTTTGATTCAATTCCTACCTTTTCATTCCTTTCATTACTTACACTTCTCTATTGCTCTTCCTATCCACTCCCCAACAATATAGGGTTTCCCTTGATTTCATCAAAGGACACAAATCTGAAGTGCAGAGAGACTTGGGAGTTCTAGTCCAGGATTCTCTCAAGGTAAACTTGCAAGTTGAGTCAGTAGTTAGGAAGGCAAATGCAGATCACATGGAATTGGTGCCTGGACTTGTAGGGCTTCAAGCAAGATATCGTTTCTTACCATTCCTTCTATACAGATGAGTTCAATAATCTTGCTGTTATTCACTCACATTAGATCTCACACTACTACATGGGCAATAGTGACCAGACCCACAGAGCCAGAGATGACAGAAAAGAACCTGCAGTTAAGCCCAGTAATGGCAAATAATGAAGCCAGCTTTCAATCCAAACGCAGAGATGGGGAAAATACCTAGAGTGATATTCAGCATTGGTAGGGACTGGTTATCGGCAGACTTCAACACATACCTACCAGTATATGAGAAATGCCATGCAAGGTTGAAGACAGCATAGAAGACAACCTTTTATTTCAAGCAGATGAAAGCTGAGAGTCAGAAATCTTTACTAACAGAACAAAGCCTCAAGATTCAGTAGGTACTGCTGATGCTGGAGAATCTGAGATAACAAGGTGTAGAGCTGGATGAACACAGCAGGCCAAGCAGCATCAGAGGAGCAGGAAAGCTGACGTTTTGGGTTGGACCCTTCTTCCCGAAACAAAAACAGAAGTTGCTGGAAAAGCTCAGCAGGTCTGGCAG